AGATTCAACAGGTATATTGTTGCAACTGCGCGAGCATAATTAAAGACTTCACTTTACGCCAAAACACTTTACAATTTTTCTCCTCCGTTGCACACTTAATTTCATGAACAATTGTATTTTTATACAGCGCACTTTTTTCTTTACAAACATTTCGATAAAGCTTTTTCGCTTCTAAATATCATTTCAAATTATCTCAGATTTGTATTTTCTCAACAAAATCAGGTGGAAATATTTTTTATGCTTTAATTCCAAACAATCTTTATCAAAGCACACAGGTTGTACTTTCTGTGTATGCGTCTGTTTTGAAACGTGAATAAAATTTTCACCTGCAAAATACATTAAGTCAATAAGTTTATCAACAGCTGCATTTACATCATTGTGTACAATGTGCAATAAGGAACCAATGACATCTTGAACAGAGGTTGAATTCAACCTTTCAATAAACAACTTCTCACCACTATCACACCACTTGTATTTTACTACAGGTTCAATGCCAACATCAGAAAACGGCTTGTCAAATTTACTGGTAGATCACCTCAAAAAGCGATGACCCTTGAAGTCAGTTCCGTGGAACGTTCACTGAGATATCTCTTATATCCACGGACATTTGGGTCAACTAAAGGGATTGAGTGGTCAGGCTCGCTGACACATGTTATCGTACCCCAGTTGTCTATTTATAGACCTTCATATAAAGGATATACTGAGTGTGTCCTTAAACAACAAACAAAGGAAAGTGAAGCCTACCTGTTTTAGTTCCATCCACAAGCCACAGAATACAGTAAGAGATGAACAGCAACATGTCCCGACTCTGAAACACCAACTGTTATCCGAGCCAAAGCCGGCACTATGTGACGAACATGTAGCTTAAATGCAACATTATCACTATTGATTTTCCCATTGACCGAAGATAATAAAGCTCTGGCTCAATAATAAGTTTAGGTGTGCTATATGACGTCATCTTGTTTGTTTGTCATCCCGTAGAGGCTGGTTCCTGAAAGAGTTATGTCTTGCACTTAAAATCCTTCTTTGGGGATGTCGAGACAGTTTTGTTGTTTTTTATCTACTAGAAATGAGTAAACTTAGTGTCATATCTGTATTGTGTGTTGTTCGGTGCGAAAGAACTCAATATTATACGTCGATGTGGAATTTAAACTTTGAACAAAATCAATGACAAGTCATCTAGGTTTTCATTGAGACGAACACTTCTAAAATTCACGGGGGAGACATGTGAATTAGGTCAATGTATTGAAGTAGAAACACATTAAATGACACACTTAAGAGAAACTGTCAGCATTGTTACTGGAATATTAACTGTGTAACTAACATTTGAACAAAGCTTGTTGTCGAGCAGAGTTTTGCAGTTAGGCACTTTCCGAGAGCATGCTTGTTTTGTCGATTGATGTTTTTACTTGTTTAATCCAGATATTGACTTGGAATTTCTAGGATGGCTTAATGAAAGGGTTTCTAGGAAGAGTTATTGGTTGATAGCATTCATTATTAAGTATGAAAGAATACTAACCATTATTTGGAATTTGGGACTCATTAAATGCCTTCCAACTTCATATTGCTATAGCTGACGCTGGGTACGATAATGCTGACCTTTGTAGATTTTATTGATGCGCTGCGGTTTTTAGAACTGAATAATCCAATGTCGTGAACGTTTTTGTACTACATTGTACTATGTATTCAATTCAATTCAATCTTTATTTCGTACTGAAGAGGCCACAGGCCTATAGTACATATACATATATAATGGGGAATTACATAAATAAATATATTTACATTACAGTGATAAACTTTTGTTCTATACAACATTGCAATGTGAATGAACATGGAAAGATTTTGTAATATATTTTGATTTTTACTGCTTATAAGAGTAGAGAATTTTATGATGCTTGGATGGATATAGTAATATCTTTTAATGTATTTACATCGTATTGAATTATATGATGGACAGATGAGGAGAAAGTGATATTCATCTTCAATTTCATTTAAACGACTAAGTGTACATATTCTATCTTCTCTTTTAACATTTTTTCTATCTGCCGCTTTCAATCAACAAATCGTGAGATGAATATCGGAATCTTGCTAGTGATCGCCTAAAGTTGGTATGTGCCCCATCACAATATCTGTATAATGGAAGCGATTTTATCTGGAACAACCAACATCAAAATACGTCTAGTGGCTTGTAATACCGACAAACAGGTACTTGACAAACGTTATGTAAGTAACCCTGATCAGTCGAGTTGTGTCACGCAAACTGTTCTCGCCGATATTTGGCCTCCATATATTTTCTCCATATCTTTTTGGCGGCTTAACATTTCGTGAAAACAATTAAAACTTTTGTACATGTAACTGTAATTACTCTTTTTATTTGTCGACATCAGCTCACCTGAATATTTCAGGAACAAAGTGGGTGGTCAGGCTCGCTGACTTGGTTGACCCATGTCATCGTATCTCAAGTGTGTAGATCGATGGTCATCATGTTGATCACTGGATTGTCTGGTCCAGTTTCGATTATTTATTGGTGAGTGCGGCGTTAAAGAACAAACAAACAAACCCTGGAGAAGACCGAGGGAGAGTACAGAGACGGAGAGAGACACGTTATGAGTTGGGACACATATGACCGGACTCAAGAGATACCATAAGATAATCACAGCATAACAAAATTGATGACTCTCTAATTTGTAATTTGTAAGTTTCAGTTTTCCGGTAACTTGAAGGAAATGTAGAGAAACGGTCCGAAAACTTAACTGAAACTTAAGTTTCCATTACATTTCCGTTAAATTTCCGGTGTCCGGAAAACAATTTATTTTTCCTGTGTCTTCTTTTTACATAAATCAGGTCTTAAGCAAGCTCGACTCTTTAAAGCAGTTTTGGACAGCCCTGAAGAACATAAACAAAATGAAAAGAAATTAGTGTTTTTAGTTTTACGCCGCATTGTATGGAATAAGCCAAAAACCAAGCTAGACATCAGGGCGGGTAGCTTCAAAATGTTACCAGTCCAAACTGGATTGAACCAGACCAGGCAATCCAAAGAAAATTACTCAGATGTATGGAACATGTTATCTAATATTTTACCAGACCATCGGTCTGGATAGCTCTAAATTCAGACCGTCCATCAGAAATCTAACCCGTCTCGGGCGGTCGGACGGGCCTTATTTCATGCACTGATATATGTAAAAAAAATGGTTTGAATATTTTGAGGATGTATTTAGTACTGGCGAATCAGGGAAAGATTTTCAGTGTTACCGCAGTTACCATATAGAAGATGTGTGCGCTCTGGTCACCGATATGTTATGCTCAAGTAACGTCAAGGAAAGTATAATCATCTGCTATTCATGATTTGAACAACAAAAGTGCAGGAAACGATGAAATAATAGCAGAATTCTTTGAATCTTTTATTAAGAGACGTATTGTGGGCCTGGAGTACTCCAGGATTGGTTGGTTGGTTGAGTTTGTTTGTTGGTTGGCTGCTTGGTTGCTTGGTTGGCTGGTTGGCTGGTTGGCTTGAGTTGGTTGGGTTGGGTTGGGTTGGTTTGGGTTGGGTTGGGTTGGTTTGGGTTGGGTTGAGTTGGGTTGAGTTGGTTGGGTTGGGTTGGATTGGTTGGTTGGTAGGTTGGCTGGTTGGTTGGTTGGTGGGTGGGTTTGTTGGTTGGTTGGTGGGTTGGTTAGTTGGTCGGCTGGTTGGTTGGTTGAAATATCACTTTAGAGAAAAATTCATTATCGTTTGCGATACCACCGAAAATAACAGTCATCCAGATGATAATTCAAGAACTATTGATGAAACTGTGGCCAGTAAAGACGGTGAATCAGTTTATTCGTTTGAGAAAGAAATTATTTTCTCCAGACGTCAGAAAGAAAACAAAACGTCTTCCAAGGCGTTCCCAGTTGCGATACACTCGGGACCGACTGTATTAAACATTTCAATTCAATATTATTTATGTATGACGCTGATCGATGAGTCCACTCCCACGAACGATAAGCTGGACTACTTCTTCTGGTTCCACGTGGTAATCAGGAAGGTGTGCATGTTGTGATGTCGAGCCATTTGATGGCTTTACGCCGCTTTTAGCAATATTACAACAATATCACACCTGGAATGAGCTGCACACATTGTACCCTTCTGGGGAATCGAATCCTCGAGAATTCAGAATACTTTGTGAGATGGATCGGTATCCATGGCTACAATCTGGAACTCTCAGCATGCAGTTGTGAGAGTATGGACTTTGAACTTATCTGCGTATGCACTGACGTGATTAGACATTCATCGATACCTTTTTATTGGCTGTTTTTTTTATTTGTTGTGTATCGCTGCACCCTGAAGTATTCCAAGGATTTACGTCATTCTATTGTGATTTACGTTGGACTCAGGCAGTTAGTGACAGTTACATCCTTTACGATAAGAACCATGTGTCCCATAGGAGCAGTCATTACCCAGTTACAAGGTAATGTAATACATACATACACAAACACACACACACACATACAGACAGACAGACGTACACACACATACATACAGACAGACAGACAGACATACACAAACAGACACACAGATATACAGACATACACACACACATACATACATACATACATACAGACAGACATGCATACAACATACAGACATAAAGACAGGCAGGCAGGCAGGCAGGCAGGCAGGCAGGCAGGCAGGCAGGCAGGCAGGCAGGCAGGCAGACAGACAGACAGACAGACAGACAGACAGACAGACGGACAGACGGACAGACAGTCATGCATACAGACAGACAGACACACAAATAAAGACAGACATTTACACACAGACATGCATGCATGCATGCATACAGACAGACAGACGACAGACATACACACATACATACAGACATACATATAGACATACACACACAGACATGCATGCATACATACATACATACAGACAGACAGACAGAAATACACATATACACAATACATACAGACATATATACACATACATGCATGCATGCATACATACATACAGGCATACAGACATACAGACATTGAAGTAATATTCATAAGTTTTACAAAATAAAAGCTTAAGAATGGTGACAAAATGCCTGCCGATGTTGGAAATCATGTCATTCAGCAAAAGAATATTCTAATGATTGATGACATGAAATTTGCATAAAGTGTATGGGAAAACGCATGTCCAATATACGACTGTGTTACACTTTCACGCGCTCACTTGAGTGTTGTAATCAGGAAAACTTGCAATGGCCGCAGTGGTCTTTGAACCCCGCCATTGGTCAGTATTGAACAAGTCAGAAGAAACCTACCGTTCGTCGATTATTGACTTGAATGATTGCTGAAATGATGACTTGGCTTTTGGTAAAAACAAAATTTTCTTCAGTTTCAGTGCAATTTAATGCAAACCCAAAAATAACACATAAGAGCAGTTCATGATAGCTTACACATGAGCCATTTTCTCAAACATGTACTTTAAAAAAAGGGACGTAACTCTTTGTAAGTAAGTGACAGTGTAGAAACTCAAAGAAGAGGACAGAAAATATGCATCTCAGCCTTAACTTATGTTTACATTCTAACAATAACGTTCTGACTAAGTTATAATGAATCCTGATTCAGTAAAGGAGTTAATAGTTTCATTCGCACACACTGAAGCATCCTTGATACACGTAACTGTCCCATGTGACGTCAGCCTGAAGAGAGGGACTTATCTCCCCTTGAAGCAGTTCACACACTGTGGCCGGTAGGTGTCTGATGCTGAAGCCCGTGCAGGACTCCGAGCGTTCACATGCAGCAGCACAAGCTGCGGTATTGTCGATTCCTTCGCTGATGGTCTTCAGTGGAGTCTTGGTGGAATGTTGTTGTTTATATTGAACGAGGGATGCGCCTGGAACAAGAATGAATGAATGTAGTTTTTGGCCACTATGAATACTACTCCAGCAATACCACAGCGGCGCACGCCAGAAATGACTGAGTGTGTTTAGTTTTATGTCGCTTTTTGGCAATTTTTAAGCAATATCACGACGGGTGACGTCAGAAATAAACATCACACACTGTGTCCATGTGGAGAATCGAACCGGGGTCTCCGGCCTGCGACCGCTTTAACCATTAAGCTACCCTCAACAACCTGCCTGGGATAAATACAGTGTTTTTAACCATAAACAGATTAATCAAAATATTTAGTTTCTTTCACCAACGAATCAAACCATGACGTTGTTCCAGCAAGTGCACTGACCAATAAGATCTCAGATCACCGTCCTTCTCTTCACATTACTTCAACATTACTTCAACATTACTTCAACATTTCATGCAACGGTTCACAAAACGTTCGCAAAGGGTTGGGTTCATATGACGTCCTACCCGTGAAGATTTGGCCATCATCGGTCACGCTACTCTTAGGAGACGACTAACGGACTCTGGTGATTAAGCTTGCTGACTTGGTTCACACATGTCATCTTATCCCAATTGTTTAGACCGATGCGCACGCTGGTGATCACTGGATTGTCTGGACCAGACTCGATTATTTACAGACCGCCGCCATATAGCTGGAATATTGCTGAGTGCGGCGTTAAACATCAACCAACCTGTTACAGCTTACACTGACACCGCTCCCTCTGGATCTTAAACAATAAACAAACTCATGAGATCGGGTGGTCAGCTCGCTGACTTGTTTAAAGGCACGTTATTATATCTCATTTGCGTAGATCGATGCTCATAGTATACATCACTGGATTGTTTGGTCCAGGCATCTACTGACCGCTGTCATACAGCTAGACTGACTGACTGACTGAGATAGGTTTTACGCCGCTTTTAGCAATAATACAGCAACATCACGGCGGGGAACACCAGAAATGGGCTTCACATATTGTACCCATGTAGGGATTCGAACCCGGGTCTTAACCACTAGGCTACCCAACCGCCCCCATACAGCTTGAATATTGCTGAGTGTGGCGTTTATCAACAAACAGATAAACGAAACCCTTCCCCTTTCATTTGAGTTGTCGGCTAGAAAATGGTTTGATAATACTTACATGAATCGAAATATAGATATTGCCACTCAACTAAACATGTTTTTGGTTTGGAGTTTGATAATACCTTTAACTATGTGATACTTACATGAATCGAAATGTGTAGATATTGCAACTCCGAACACTTGTACGTCGCACATTTGGAGAACATCTTCAGGATTTAACTTGTTTTTGCCGCTGATCCTGACAAAGCGACCGGTGACGGGTCTTGAGCAGGTGACGGTAACAGTCTCCCCCGGGTTTGACACGCTACCGGAGTAGAAGTAGCATACTTTGGGGGCAGAGTTGGAAGGTTGTTCTTGGTACACGTCAATTGAAAAATCATGAAGTCTTTCAGCTGTAATTGAAACCGTGACATATTAGGTTTGAGATTACTTATGTTTAGTGATGACCCGTTACGATCCGGGTTAGAACTGATCTTCAGCAACCCATGCTTGTCGTAAGAGGCGACTAAAGGGATCGAGTGGCCAGGCTCGCTGACTTGATGGACACTTGTTATTGTATCCAAATTTGGTAGATCGATGCTCTGATGCTCTCAGCCACTGATTATGTTTGAAGTCAGCGGGAATAGTCGCCTATTACGACAAGCATGGGATTCTGTCCAAGCGTGACGTCACTACGTCACGTCAGCAAGACAACCACATTCGGCTGACCCATCTAAGGAATCGATTCCAGACTGCCAGTTTGACTGCTCGGACCATTCCTGGCTTACGTCGAATCAGTTCAAGGACTGTACGGAACCAAATGAGGGAGCAGAACATACGGCCCAGACGGCCCGCACAACGTCCAGTTTTGCTCCAACGTCACCGACAATCACGTCTTGGTGCAGACTTCATGGACTCTTATGGTATGGTGCAGCCTGGTGCAGACAGCATCTACGGTACAGAAGGCTAGTTCAACGGTTTACGTCAAGCCCCAAATCAGCCATTGACGTCAGCTGAATTGGGACAAGCGTTGGCTCAGACATGGAACAACATTCCCAAAGCTTTCTTCAATCGCTTAGTGTCGTCTATGTGTCATCGTTTTCAAACCTGCATCAACGCCAATGGTGGACACACACGATACTGAATTTGTGAACTGACTTTTGACATCACATCTCTTCAAGGGCGTGTCACGATGCCTAGTGTCAAATCATACAGATTTCGATAGTATTCTGTCAACAGTTAAACAGTGATTAAGGAAAACACCACAACTCATGTTATTATCTTTTTGCATTAAAATGGCACAACATCAAATAATGCGCAATCCAGTAGTATATAACCGAAGACATAAGATGTGTAAATATTGGCCGTAACATTTGTGGGGCGCAGTAGTGCAGTTGAAGCCGTGTGCCTATCACGCAAAAGGCCCGGGTTCGATCCCCGGTGGAGGCACCTAAGAGCGCCAGAGCGCACTCATCTTCTATATGGTAACTACGGTAATCTTCCCCTGATTCGCCGGTGGAGGCATCTAGGTTCGGGTCCCGAGGTGGACACATTGGCGTAGTATCCTTGGACAAGATACTTAGATCCACATTGTCACAGTTCACCCAGCTGTAAAATGGGTACCCGTGAGGATGTCCTGGCAATGTGTGTGTTTAGTTCATAGCGCCTAACAGGCAGCATGGCTGTATGATTCCCCAGGGAGTTGAAAAGTATCGGAAAGTACGACAGTGTCCTATGACCGGAGATAGTAATGTACGTAGCGCCGTGAGCAGGCAATGTGCCTGGATATGAGCGCCATATATGCAGACTATTACTATTACGTTACTGATAGCGTGGTTAGCAACATTAAACACATTTATACGCACGGCAGCATTCACTTCTAGCTGTGACCTTGACCTTGGTTACTTTGACCTTGACCTGTAGGTCCATTTGCCACCAGGGGTCGTAGTCTGCTAACTGAACTGCGAAGCAGCTGTTACTACCCCAAGTTGTGCCTGTATTCCCATCGTTTACCGCTTGTGGTGGATGGATAATGTGCGAACTTGAACTGGCCGGCTTGTCCAGTGCCAGGTCAGTTTCTTGACCAAAACAAATCAGAACAAAAATGACAATATCCGAATGAACTGATGTATTTCGATGCCAGACTCGGAGACTTGGTTTACACATGTCATCTTATCCCATCTACATAGATCTATGCTCATGATGTTAATCACTGGGTCCAAACTCGATTATTTACAGACCGCGGCGTGAAACTGAAGATCCCGATCCCGTTAGTCGTCTCTTACAACAAGCATAGGTTACTGAAGACCAATTCTAGCCCGGATCTTAACGGGTCTGTAATCACCAGTAGCGAGAGTGATGGTGTAAATCTAGCTGGGTGAGTCAGTGAGTTTAGTTTTACGCCGCCCTAAACCTCACATCTAAATAAACACTCCCAAAAAGAAACGCATCATGAAAATAGCAATTTCATGAAGCAATGAAGCCAACCGTCATATCGCCATTGGTTTGCTTGAAGCTGGCCAGTCTCAACGTGCAGTTGCCCGACGCATGAATGTTCAACAAAGCACCATTTCACGGCTCTGGGAGAGATATCGCCGGCAGAATGCGGTAGCAGATGCCCCTCGTAGTGGGCGACCTCGAGCGACCACTGCGGCGTAGGATCGCTACATGCGGTTACATCACCTGCGTCATCGAACAGCTAGGAGGCTTTCTGCACAGACCGTCAGGAACAGGTTGAGAGAGGCTGGTTTACGTGCCAGAAGATCTCGTTCGATGCCGAGACGATGCCGTGCAGTTCTGGATGCGGTGGTCACACGAGGTATTGACTTCAGCGCCACCGCACTCAGCAATATTCCAGTTATATATCGGCCGTCTGTAAATAATCGAGTCTGAACCAGACAATCCACTGATTAACAGCAAGAGCATCAATCTACGCAGTTGACATGAGTTAACAAAGTCAGCGAGGCTGACCACCCGATCCTGTTAGTCGCCTCTTATGACAAGCATGGGTTACTAAAGATCAATTCTAACCCAGATCTTCACGGAAGACAAACATGGGTTACTGAAGACCAATTCTAACCCGGATCTTCATGGGACAATAACTCCAGTCGGGACACCTGGCCGGCAGAAGAAGTAGCACGAGTCCCCAGGGACATCTGAACCAAGACGTTTAACTGAAGCATTCAGGTATATCGATAATCTGATATCATTAAATAAACATTAACAGCCAATCCCCTTCCCCCATCTTATATTACACGACATGTTTTCTCACTTACTCGCCCAGCTGAAGAAGCTACAAAGGAAACAAGTGAGGCTGCCTCGACTGTTCCAAATTAAGATCAAGTTCCTAAAGATTCAGCGGGAGCGGTGTTCATATAAGCTATAACAGGTTGGCTGGTGTTTAACACCGTAATCCAGCTGTATGGTGGCGTTCTGTAAATAATCGAGTCTGGATTACACACACCAGTAATCAACAGCATGAGAATCGATCTAAGTAATTGGAATACGATGACGTGTGTCAACCAAGTTAGCAAGCCTGATCACCCGATTACGTTAGTTGCTTCTTGCGACAAGCATGGCTGCTGAAGGTCAGTTCCATAACAGCTTGTTCACCGTATTTATTTACCGAATAACAATATATACCCTTAAGCCTCAGCGTGACAAAAGGTTTTCGAAAAGTTTGCAAAACGCACACCATTTACTAAGTGAGTGAGTGAGTGAGTTAGGATTTTTTATCACATCGGCAGTATTTCAGTCACATCGTGACTAAAACAAGTTATATATTCATGATACATAAACTCAGAGTATATTAAAAGGTGGAGGAAAGATAGTTAAAAACAACCGTCAACAACTGAAGATAGTGAGTGAGTGAGTGAGTGAGTGAGTTAGGATTTTAAGTCACATCGGCAATATTTCAGCCATATCGTGACTACAAACAAGGTATAATTTTACAATGAATAAAGGTAAATTATAAAAACCTGTCAGCAAAGGACAGTAAAACAACTAGTATATCACACACTTCAATCTAAAACTAGTAATTAACACTAAAATACCTTAACTATAGAGGACAACACAATATAAAAACAGGCTATGTATTGCCAACGACTGAAGTTAGATCACCATGCCAGGGACCGTGGGGACTTACAGTACTCTTGCTACCAGCACGGACACAACTGAAGATAGAGGTCCATACCAAGGCCATAAGGAGCATGGGGTCTTACAGTATGTTTGCTTCCTGCATGGACCCTAGCTGGATTTACATCATCACTTCAGCTGTCTGCGATTGTGTTAACATCAGTTTTTGACGATTTGTAGATTGTTTTATATGTTGTATTGTCTATGGTTTTAGATCTGCATTCTGGCTTTACATTTATATGTGTGAGTTTCTGGTTGTTTTTAACGTAGTTCTTCAATATGTTTTTATATTCTCGATTTATATGTGACAAATGCATGACTTGTTTTGGTCACTATATGACTTAAAGACGACCGATGCCATTTGAAATCTTAACTCACTCACCCACTCACTGGTATACGGGTTGCGTAGACAGATGTTCATGGCAGGCACCGCATTGTCTGGTCCAGATTCGATTATTATGTATGGAGTTTTGTTGCTCTTGTTATTTACAGACCCCCTTCATGTAGAAGGAGTATTTCTGAGTGTGACGTGAAACGACAAACAACAAGGAAACTTACCTGTATTAGTTTCATCTACAACAGAGCATAGAGACGGAGATAGACTCGTTATGAGTAGGGATTCATATGATAGACTCAAGACATACCAGAATATGATAACAATAGTGGAAAAACTGATCTTGACTCCATTATGTTCAAACAAATCAGGTCTTAAGCAAAATGGAATCTTTAAAGGAGTTTTGGAGAGCCCTGGGGAACATAGGACTTCTGGTCCAGACACGATTATTGTGTAGAGAGTTATTATTTACAGACTGCCTTCATAATGGTGGAGCAACGACAAACAAACAAAAAATAATTAAACTGACCTGTTTTAGTTCCATCGACAAGCAGCAAAATTACGTAAGAGATGAACAGCAACATGTCCCGACTCTGAAACACCAACTGTTTTATCCGAGCCAAAGCCGACACAATGTGACGAACCTGTAGCTGAAAAGCCACATATCCCTATTGATTTTCACATGCATCGAAGACTCTTAAACTCTGGCTCAGTATGTTTAAGTCAGCATGTATATGTAGTGTCTTATTGCTTCCTGTGTCATCCCGTTGGGGTTTGTTCCTACAAGTTGGTGCCTTGCACAATAAGCCCATTTTGTGGAAGTGGAGAGAGTTGTGTCTCTATGTTTACTAGAAGTGAGCATACGTAATGTCGTATCTGTATTGTGTGTTGTTTAATGCGTCAGAACACACTACTAGAATGACCTAATGGAAGGCCTTCTAGGAAGAGTTATTGGTTGATAGCATTCATTATGAAGTATGAAGGAATACTAACCATTATTTGGAATTTGGGACTCATTAAATGCCTTCCATAAATAAGCCTACTATATATTTCTATAGCTGACACTGGTTACGGTCATACTGACCTTTGTCGATTTATTCATGCGCTGATCCAAAGAATCCAACGTCCAGTAAACGTTTTGTGTACTTGTGGTATGTAGTCGAGTTACAATAGTGTTTGTCCTATAATAATATCCTTTTCTCAGAGCTGGATGTGGAGAGGGTTTTGTCTCTTTTGTTTACTAGAAATGACTGACTGACTGACTGAGTTTGGTTTTACGCCGCTTTTAGCAATATTCCAGCAACATCACGGCGGGGGACACCAGAAATGGGCTTCACACATTGTACCCATGTGGGGATTCGAACCCGGGTCTTCGGCGTGACGAGCCAACGCTTTAACCATTAGGCTACCCCACCGCCCCTACTAGAAATGAGCATTCGTGATGTCGTATGTGTATTATGCGTTATTTAATGCTTGAGAATACTGTTATACATCGATAACGATAAACAAAATCAGTGACGAATCATCTAGGTTTTAAGTGAGACTAAACCCCTTGAAATTCACGGGTGAGACATGTCAATTGTACAGGTTTATGTATTGAAGAAGTGTCAAAGTACAATAGTCACAATGCCACACTGAAGACAAGCTGTCATCATTGTAACTGGAATATTGACATAACTCACATAACTCACATAACTCACATCTGAAAGATTTGGACAAAGTTTGACATCAAGCAGGACGTTGACAGTTAGGCTGTTTCAGAGAACAAGCTAGTTTTACCCGTGAACAACCGGGTTAGAATGGACAGGCGACTAACGGGATCGGGTAGTCAGGCTTGCCGATTTCGCTGACACATAACATCATATCCCAATTGAGTAGATCGATGCTCATGTTCTTGATCACTGGATTATGTGGTTCAGATTCGACAGCCAGATTATACTGCAGCTGGTATATAGCTCAACCAACCAAAAAACAAATGTGATTCATTTGGCGTTAGAGATTGAGTTCATTACCTATTCAACAAATATGTACTGGACTTCCCATCATCTGTTCATAATTATAAAGTATCATCATGAGTAACTGCAACACATTAACACCATGTTTTATCTATCGATGTATATCCTGTGTAATGCGTCGTGCTTGAGAATATTTCGCTCATATGACGACGTGCATGCGTGTGTATGTGTATGTGCGGCTGCTTGTACTAGCCCAGACTGAAGTTGGTTTTATAGTGCTAGCCCACTGAGATACCATGCCGCAGTGGAGCATGAATACCCCACTCACGCACATTATACTGACTCCGAGCCGACCAGTCCTTGATGTACCCATTAATGCCGAGCGTCAGGCAGGGACCAACACGTACCATATTTTAACGTCTTTTGGTATGACGCGGTCGGGGATCGAACCCGCGACCTTCCGCTCTCCGGGCGGACGCTCTAACCACTACACCACGGAGGCGGTCTGTGTAATCCAGATATTGACTTGGAATATATGGAATGACTTAATGGAAGGCTTTCAATAAACACTTAATGGTTAATAGTATTGAAAATAACGAACAGATTTGGGTCTCGTTAAATGCCTTCAAAGCCTACTACATATTGCTGTAGCTGACACGATCATACTAACCATGTCGATTTTATTGATGCGCTGAATAATACAACGTCGCGTAAACTTGTTGTACTACATTGTACTTGTGGAATGTATTCGAGTTAGAATGGTATTTCTCATATAACAATATCCGGTAGAATGGCAACAGTGAAGATGCAACCAGCTTCTTTGGTCTGGAGCTTCTCAAGGCTGGAACACCCAACATCAAAATACGTCTAGTGGCTTTTAATACTGACAAACAGGTACTTGACAAACGTACTGTAAGCAACCCCGAGTGTCTGGGAGCGCAGTCACCCCTGACCTATCTACTTGTATCCTCGCCGTCTTTTGGCCTCCATGTGTTTCCTCCATATGTCTTAAGACCCGAGAAGATCCGGGTTAGAATTGGTGTTCAGTAACTCATTTTTGTCGTAAGAGGCGACTAACGGGATCGGGTGGTCAAGCTCGCTGACTTCGTTGACACATTTCATCGTATACCAGATGCGTAGATCGTGCGGTTGATCACTGGATTATCTGGTCCACACTCGATAATTTACAGAACGCCGCCATAATGCTGGAATATTGCTGAGCGCGACGTTAATAAACAAACCAACCAACTACCCAAGAATGGTTACAAAATGCCTGCCACTGTTGAAAATTACCTAAAGAATATCCGAATGATTGATGACATGAAATTTTCATAAGGCGTATACAAGATCCGTCAGCAGCAGCATGTACAACTCACCGTAAAGACCCGGGTCACGGCTGGCCTTCAGCAACCAAGGCTAGTAAGAAGTGACTAGCGGGAACGTGTTCAGGCCTGTTAGCTTGGTTGATATATGACGTTGCATCTTGATGGGTGCTCACATCAGTCAGTAGATTTCATGTCAAGACACTATAAAGGCCCCTATCATACATCCCGAGTATTGCAGGGGGCGGCGATAAACAACGACCATTTCATTTGTGCTTCGGCTTACCTTATTAAATGAACTTTTATTCAGAGCAGTACATAAAAAGAATATCACGAAGACAAGAACAAGAAATAGTTACTCTGGAACGCAGACAGTTTGTACCTAAAATGACCGGGTAATGACCATAAATGGGTTTGTCAGTCTGGACTGGTGTGTGTCGTCATCATCGGTGGGAACAACTCCGTGAAAATCAAAAGAGGCTCACTGGAAAGTCAGAAGAGGCTCCGTGAAACTGGGAAGAGCTTTGCGACAAACATGGAGACACATTCAAAGATGCTTCGCCAAAAGATCAAAAGCGACATGCGCCATAAAAACACTTTTATGCATTACGTCACACTGAACTGACGTCACTTTTCGTCAGCCCTCTTGTAAATAAACGTACATTTGGTAACCGACGTCATGATGCATGTCAGTTTTCATCGCCTCGTACAGTCCCCTACAGCAAACTACTCCGTAGCATCCCGTTACTTGGTTTGCTGTTGCTTCATCACTGGTGGAAACATTGCGCTGGACCTTTTTTAAGGTCTCGGCTCGATTCACAATTAAACAGCGACATGGCAGTGGTCACTAAGTCTATTAAACAAATCCGACAATCCATCCGTGGAATGTCGCGTGAGCAGTCAACTTAATCTGGATTTACTGTTCTAAACTTACATTGTCAGTAGACGTGCGACGTTCACATTGCCTAGCGTGGTTTACGATAACCGCAGACGTAACTAAAATAATATGGAGAAGATATTTAACCCGAACGTAAACCGTCCTCAAAGCATGCCCAGTGCACTACAACTAACACAGAATGATGTAGGCCTCTTGACTACCTTTTCAGTTTATCATTAAAGTCATAACCACATGTTATAAATGACGTCACTTCCCTCTGTTCAAAAAACCACTACAATACTATTAGTTTGTACCAGTACACTTGCACGCGCTTACTGGAGTGCTGTCACAAAGAAAACTTGCAATTGCAGCCCCGGTCTACGGACACTGCCATTGGTCAGCTTTGAACCAGTCAGCAGAAACTCACGGTTACCGTTCGCGAGTTATTGGCGTGAATATTATTCTTGATAGGTTGTTATGAATCCTGACTCAGCAAAGGAGTTTCGAGTTTTATTCGCACACACTGAAGCATCCTTGATACACGTAACTGTCCCATTAGACGTCAGCCTGAAGAGAGGGACTTATCTCCCCTTGAAGCAGTTCACACACTGTGGCCGGTAGGTGTCTGATGCTGAAGCCCGTGCAGGACTCCGAGCGTTCACATGCAGCAGCACAATCTGCGGTATTGTCGATTCCTTCGCTGATGGTCTTCAGTGGAGTCTTGGTGGAATGTTGTTGTTTATATTGAACGAGGGATGCGCCTGGAACAAGAATGAGTGACTATGGTTTAATACCGCTTAAAACAATATTCCATACCAGAAATAAGTGAGCAAGTGAGTTTAATTTTACGCCACTTTTAGCAATATTTCGGCAATAGCACGGCGGAGAACACCAGAAATGGACTTCCACATTGTACACCTGCGGTGAATCGATCCTCGCCCTGCAGACCGAACTCTTTAACCATTAGGCTACCCTCAACATACTGCCTGGAAGAAATACATTGTTTCTAATTGAACGTCAAACAGATTAATCAAAATATTAAGTTTCTTTCACCAACGAATCAACCATGACGTTGTTCCAGCGAGTGCTCTGACCAATCAGATCTCAGATCACCGTCCTTCTCTTCAATTAAACACATTTAAGATGTCAGCTGGAAACGTCAGACTTTGTCTTCTCACGAACGAAAGCCTCACAAGTGTAAAACATGTTTTTGACTTGAAGTTTGTTAATACCTTTACCTATATGCGACTTACATGAATCGAAATGTGTAGATATTGCCTCTCCGAACACCTGTGCGTCGCAAAATTGGAGCAGGTCTTGATGATTTAATTTGTTTTTACCGCTGATCCTGACAAAGCGACCAGTGACAGGTCTTGAGCAGGTAACGGTAACAGTCTCCCCTGGGCGTGACACGCTACCGGAGTAGAAGTAGCATAATTTGGGGGCAGAGTGTTGGTTGGAAGGTTGTTCTTGGTACACGTCAATCGAAAAATCATGAAGTCTTTCAGCTGCAATTGAAACCGTGCCATTTTAGGTTTGAGATTACTGATGTTTAGCTATGCCCTATCATCTGTCATGCTTGTCGTAAGAGGCGAATAACAGGATCGGGGTACAGACTCGCTGACTTGATGTAACAGTTTTAACAAGCACATACACCAATATATTTCTTTGTGTTTGCATTTGTACTCAGCCTCACCGCCCTATCCCTAAGTCGTTTCTACGACAAGCATGGATCCAGTGGCCAACGCCAGCCTCATCTTCTCCGGCATTATGTTACTATTTTATCATCCAAAACTGTGTTCCACAGGAGATATTGCTTGTGTGAGATCATACGGTATTTTCTAGGAGATATCATTTTGACAGTAGATTTTGTACAATGCCCTGACAAATGCTGTGACGTCATGAACTGGATGACGTCACAATGCTATGACATCGCTGCACTACAAGTCTAATGGTAGTTGAGTCTTCAGAGATGTACATTTTTCATTGAAAACTAATGAAGAAGGATTTTTGATAATAAATAGAATCTCACCCTCGTGTCTTCTGATATCAAATATATCAACACTCGTTGATAAAAGTGAAATTATCCTCGGCAAGCCTCGGATATTTGTAACTTTATCAACTCGTGGAGATGTATTTGACATCAGAAAACACTCGGGTGAGATTCTCTATATATCACCAAAGAATCAAGATGGGTACATATGGGCCGTAACGTTACTGATAGCATGGTTAGCAAGATTAAATACATTTATACGCACGGCAGCAGTCACTTCTAGCTGTGACCTTGACCTTGGTTACTTTGACCTTGACCTGTAGGTCCACTTGCCACCAGGGGTCGTAGTCTGATAACTGAACTGCGAAACAGCTGCTACTGCTCCAATTTGTGGCAGTATTCCCATCGTTTACCGCTTGTGGTGGATGGTTGATGTGCGAACTGGAACTGGCCGGCTTGCCCAGTGCCAGGTCAGTTTCTTGACCAAAGAACAAACATGACAATATCTGAATGAACTGATGGAATCTATTTCAACGTCAGACTCGCAGACATGGTTGGCATCCAAATTCGGTAAATCAATGCGCATGTTGTTGATCACTGGGTTACCTAGTCCAGACTCAATTATTTACAGACCGCCGCCATATAGCTGGGATATTTTGGAGTGGGCGTGCGGCGTTGAACAACCAACAAACTAGGAAACAAACCATGGCAGACGGAGATAGACTCGTTATGAGTCGGGATTCATGTGACAGACTCAAGATATACCAAAATATAATCACAACAGTGATAAAACTGATCTTGACTCCATTATTGTTTTACAAATCAGGTCTTCAGCAAAATGGACTCTTCAAAGGAGTTTTAGACAGCCCCGAAGAACATAGGGCTTCTGGTCCAGACTCCTATTTGCTCCTAATTTTACAGATCGCTTTCATGTGGCTGGAGTATTTCTGAGAGTGGCGTTAAACGACAAACAATATAAAATTAAACTGACCTGCTTTAGTTCCATCCAGAAGCCACAAAATAAAGTAAGAGATGAACAGCAACATGTCCCGAAATACCAATCGTTATCCGAGTCAAAGCCGACACAATGTCACGAACATGTAGCTGAAAAGCAACATCATTACTATTGATTTTCACATATACCAAAGATTCTTACAGGCTCAATAAGTTAAAGTATACATGTATATGTACTACCAGATACTTATCTCAAACATGTATATGTTACCTGCCGCAAGTAAAGCTTCAGCAAGGTGTCGGTTTTATATCAGAAAGGCTTAGATGTGTCCAATGAGAATACGTTCACTAAATATTCAAATCAGATGTATGTAATGTGCTCAAGGTAATCAGTGTTCTAAATGTGATAATACCGCATCTTCATGACAGGACAATAGCTCTCTGTTAGTTGAACGCATTAGACTCTCGATGCAGTACGAGATTAAAGGAAATCGTTTTCCAAAACATTAGCCATTAGCTTTTTGTGAATTTGCGCCTTTGTCAGAAAATCAACACATTACCAGCTAATGCATCCTTTTTCTTTACTCTGATTTTCCTTTCACAAACTATGATGAATATGACACTTGTGTTCTCGATCAAAGAGCTTGAGTTACTCCGGATAAGTGTGTGTTTAATGGAATGGAATAGCTTTGCTTTTCTTTCTGACAAGTTCTTTTGTGTTCCTTCAGCCCATCCAAGGGTTCTGGTGGTTGTAGCCCTTTTACGGCCATTTTTGCTTGAAGTAGAACAGTTCTCAAAAGGCATTCTCCCTGCCAGTTTCAGTACCAGTGCGGAAGTATCTCCTTTCGGATGAAACTTGAATTGGTTATAAAGAAATTGTAATCCCTTTCTGTTTTAAGTCTCTTTTAAACATACCCTTGATAAAAATAAATAAATTGACAGCTGTTTAAGCAGCTCATGTGTTCCCAAGGCAACTTGGGTTCAGGGCAGGGTTAGCTCATAAACCGTCCACTGTTCCTGACACGGGAGCTTGTAACACATCAAAAATGGATACTATGAATATATAGCCCCTGATGGGGATTTAATTGTATATGAAAGAAAAGGAGTGTGGACCTATATTTCATTTATAGTCAATCAGATCGCTGGCTCTTTTCAGTGCCGGGTATATCATGACAATGGCGAACGGTGACGACACAGGCCTGTTAGCCATGAATACTGTACATAAACCCATTATGGCAATTAGCTGTGTGTCTCGGAAAGAATGGTGATGAAGTGCCACCAATCCAGTGTGCTTTAGTTCGTGTCTAGTATGAACACAATGAAATAAACAAGTAATTCGGTAAGTTAATTCTGTGCAGAGATTTTGGCCTGGAATAAAAAAGTCACGATTTTGTTGAGCTTCCCATGGCCCTAGTTCCCACAGTACTGTTTCGATTCTAGTGATATATGTCTCATATTGTAGGTAGGTCTATAGACTTGAAATTAGTGCAGAGTTGTCAAAATATCTATCATGAAATATTTCAGCATGTGTTACCATCCACGGGACTTGCACTAAACTTTCAACATATTGTGAAGCACCAATGTGCACCAATCAACAACCAAGGACCTAAAAGGTGCATGCTTAATTATAACCAGTAAAAATAAGTGTACTATTAGTTTATATTCAAATGTAAATATCTGAATCAATTGTAAGTGAAATTATTGATACCAACAACTTCTAACCATAAGTCTAATTATACTTTCACCATTTGCATAAACTCAGACTAAATAAAACTTTCAACACATTTTTTTGTAATTTATTCATTTTATCTTTTTTAAAAAGTAGGGGAACTTCATTTTTAATGTACAATTGAAAAAAATTGGATGATATATCGTAGTCAATCAATGTTGGTATGATAATAATGAATGTTTTGAGAGTGCATCACCACTTGCACTTCCTTATGACCAAAGTTGCTTGTACAGTAATCGCTCTTGAAAGATGATTGGTGTATGACGTGAAAATTTGCATGTGTACGATTTTCACTCAGTAGTGTGTGATTCCACCACAAATGGTCAGACATTCATTCAGACGAGGAGGGATACTGAGTATGAGTCTCTCAGTGACCAATTGGGGGAGTTTGTTCCGTTCTTCCTGAAGCGCACGGCCAAGTTCATCCAGAGTAGTCGGCGGCCCTATGACGTCTCCCTATCATTTCCCAGACGTGTTCAATAGGGGAAAGATCAGTCCTCGTTGCTGGTCATGGCAAACGATAGATGTTGTGGTGCTGGTGGTGATTATTGACAATACGTGCACGGTGAGCACGGGCGTTGTCATCCAGAATGACGAAATGGCGACCAAAATGCCAGGCAGATGGGACAACAAAGGGTGTCAATATGTTGCCCCGGTTGTACTGTCCTGTGACCCTTCCTTATACAACATGAAGAGGGCTTCGGTCAGTCATAGTGAAACCATCCATACCATAAGTGACCCACCTCCAAATCGATCGTGAGGCCTCGCGTTGATGGTGGCGTGACGTTCGTTTCTTCGTCGCCAGACCCGACCACGTCCGTCAAGGAAGTCCAAAGTGAATCTATACTCATCCGAAAACATGACACGTGACCAACGATGGTTCCGCCAGTGTCTATGTGACCCGCACCATTCTCGTCTTACAGCCATGTGACAATCAGTCAAGGGTAGCACAACCCGGGGAGGTCAAGCATGCAAGTGAGCTGCATGGAGGCGATTCCTAATCATCTGACCCGTAGCTCGAACACCAGTTGTCTGATACAGATTTGCCGTTACGACTCGATTTCTTAAAGCTTGGTTCCGAATGAAACGACCCTGAACTCTTGTTGTTGACCCTGGATGGCCTGACGGGGTCGATCGTCAACATTTTCGGTTTGCTGATATCTGTTCCAAAGTTTGCTAATGACTGACTTCAAAACATTGAAAATATTTGTCACTTCATGCTGGGTGGTGCCTGTATGCAACATGCCAATTGCACGTAAACGTTCATCACGTTGCAGACGCCGCATTGCAAATTCAAACAAAAAGTAAGCCTAGAAACAAACACTAACAAATGTGTGAACAATGGTCTACAGTGATTTATCGACCTTTTTGAAAACCGTTAAAATCCAGAATGACACCACATACACGTGTATGGGGCTACTGCGTTGTGTACGTTAATCCCATGCGTTGTGTTTAGGGGTGGTTATAAAGAGAAATGGTGGTGCGTTCATAAGATGTCTGTCTTTGAAAAGTTTGTTAACGCTTATACTTCCTATCCAAACTGAAAGTTCAGGTTCCCCAATTTTGTTTAAGAGAGTATGTAAAACCAAGTGTATCTAACCTAGTAGTGCATTACTTGCTTTGGATAAAGTCCAAATTTAACATTGAACATAAGGAAAGACTGTAGACCAATACACATGTATGTTCATAGCTGAATAGACTCTGATATTATCATCTTTAGATACATATATTCTCTTGAAGGTGTTATAAACATGCAATTGTTAATCTAAATTGTTGATTACATGTGACATGTGACCTATACTTTGAAAAAAATGTGCAAATAAAAAAATATTTAAAGGAGAATAAGAGTGAATTGCAATAATTTGCTGGGTGAAAGATAAAGTCATCAGAAACATATTCCCAAATTTTCAATTAAAAATTATGCATAATTATGTTTTAATCGCGAAAACAATTTCTGTAAATCTCAGCTTCGACCATTATGCATACTTCGCTGGAACCCACGTGACCTTTCCGCTCGTGACGTCAAATGTGCCTGGAGTCCGCCATATTGCCAAAGACCAAGCGCTACAGTAGTACAAATCGTGTTGTTTCTGTCTGTTGCCTGGGGAACTACAATCACATTGCAAAAATATAATTCTTAGGGACTGGTCATATACTTATAGGGGTGGGTTTGCTGGTTGGAACTGTATCACATTTTGCTGTCAAACAGTATTCTTGTTAAATGATATGGCATATTTTAAAATTTATTTTGTACTCAAGCGGTGCCTCCATTACGCTTGATTCTTCTTCTTCATCCTCTTCACTGAAAGATTGTCTGGCAAGATGTAAAATCCGATCGTATTGATACGGTCTAACATCCATTTGAGAAATGACATCAGGAACACCTTTTACTGCTTCAGAATCCATGGACACTGTTAAGTTGTGAGGTAAAATCAAAGAGGCAGCCATCAACAACAGGCACATATGACGTCATGTCACGTGATACATCTCTGCTCATAAACTGTCGGGTATTTCCGTAAAAGGTGGAAATACGAGTGCGTTTTTGGTGCTTTTATTGCTATTTTACAAACTTTTTGTTCAATTTTAATCACGGAAGGTGACTTTTTAATATCCTTTACATTATATCAAAAGTTTTGTTTTCGTTCGGATTCTCCTTTAAAAAAGTGTATCTAACCTGTAAGTCACCAATTCAAAATCCTCCTGCCATGACCTTTTAACCACCTTGCCAGGATGGGAGAAAAACAGCAAGTGAACAAAACGTCACCCTTTCCTAATGCATCAACATTCAATCAAAATATCGCACATTTTCAGCCAATGAAAACCATGGACAAGTCAGCAGACCTGACCACATTAAGATTGGCTATTTTGCATAGGAACTACTTTTGACCCATGATCCCATTGGTTATGAATAAATTATTGATTTGCTAAAATATAAACCTCTTTACTGACAATTGTATCATTGATTAAGGCGTTATGAACAAACAGGCAAATAAGACAAGAGGTATCAAAACGTACTTTTCAAGATTTTTTTTATTCTTTACATGATACATAATATACAATGAGCATTGTATTGTTGAATTCGTCCAGAAACGAACTTGGCGTTGTCACCTCGTAAAACGCCCTTCATTTCACACAGGACCCGTGAAGATCCGGGGTAGAATAGGTCTTCAGCAACCCATGTGCTTGCCATAAAAAGGCGACTATCTTGTCGTAAGAGGCGACTAACGGGATCGGGTGGTCAGTTTCGCTGACTTGGTTGACACATGTCATCGGTTCCCAATTGCGCAGATCAATGCTCATGCTGTTGATCACTGGATTGTCTGGTCCAGACTCGATTATTTACAGACCGCCGCCATATAGCTGGAATATTGCTGAGTGCGGCGTAAAACTAAACTCACTCACTCACTCATTTCACACAGTGTTAACACCCCGTCAGTAACAATATATACCTTGATACCAGTTTATTTTCCATAACAAAGACTCTGTGGCAAGATTATGGAATGGTTCCTGCATCAAAATGTGTTTCCATGCTAAACTGGTGATGATTGTTTTTTATATATACTAATGCTAATAATGGTTGTCCTCCCCCTCCCCACCCCACCCCACCCCCACCCCACCCCCACACACACACACACCCTCTCCAATAAAAATTTTTGAAGGGGGTGACAACCATTATTGGCATGAGTATATATATTGTATAGTTTCCAAGGCTGAAATCAGGTGGGTTGGAGATCGTTGACTGGTTATTGAAGAGTTTGGAAATTACATATCGTACGAAGATGATAGCCGGATGGTCTGCCGTGCGTTACAACCACTTCACCGCAAAAACCTTAGAAGTTATCCGATTCCTGAATATCCACCCAAACGGTTTCTCGTTCAGTTTGGTACAATGGAATCAATTGCGCCAGACATCAGAGACAGCTTATTCAATGACAGTGACGTATTTAGAACTGTAAAGAAATCGAAATTTCCCCTTTTTAAAATATACTTCAAATATCTCGAAAGACTACAAGTAAATAATAACCTGAAGTTTCGATTAATGGTTTTTAGTCGACTGGTTGAAGTCCGGCGCCATACAGGGGCATGTAACAACAAACAGAGCATTTTTAACGTGCTTTTCAATTTCCATTCATCATGTTCGATCATCTGCTTTAAACAGAGAACATGAGTGAAATCATATACAAAGATCATTCAGAAGCAACAATGACATCGATATGATGGATATTCTACCAAACTGGCAGCACCTTTATTTACATAATTTTTATATAAACAGTAAATGATTGTGTGTTGCCAAGCCGGATAGTTGATAGTTGTACATAGTTAGATTGCATTATTGACCAATGGGTCTTATTGCAAGTGTAAATTAAATAGATATAGTGGACCGTGGGTGGTTAGTAAACTGGAGTAAAGGAATGACGCGTTTCAGAAGGCGCATCCAGGTTACAGCAGGTGCTCGCTGTGCCAAATACTTTCCTTGACCAAGAGAAGAAGCCCAGAGTGAAATGGCGTCCAGAGTGTTCACGGGTTTATGTGTGATTGTGTTCCATATTTACCATGCTGAAGCAGGTACGTCTACATCCTTGGAAATCGCTTATGTGATGTAACTTAATTAAGCGCCCCCTGTATTTTTGCAATGGTAGGCTTTCAACACGTTTATAAAACTTCTCGTGGTGACCACGATGGAAAAACATGAGTTTTTAAACCCGTATGATCCTTGGACGCATAAAAATGACAAAATTATTGGAATCCATGTTGATTTTATGATAATATCTCCAGGAATATCCCCTCCTTATAAGGAGTATTTTCATGGTCCGAGAACTTTCATGGTTGTCAGCCAAATAGCATCTCCAGGAATATCCCATCCATATAAGGAGTATGTTCATGGTCAGAGAACTTCCATGGCTGTCAGCCAAACGTCATCTCCAGGAATACTCTCTCCTTATAAGGGGTATTTCTATGGTCAAATGTATTTCATGGTTGTCAGCCACATAGCATCTCTTGGAATTTCCTGTCCCTTTTTGTTTGTTCCCCAGAGATTAACTTAGCTGAAAACAAGCCATCAAACGCTTCGAGTGGAGGAGCCAGTGCAGGTAGTTTGGTAAATGATGGACGTCCAGATTCGACATCGTGGAGCAGCGGAAGTTGTTTAGCCCTTGATGAAAAAGACCCATGGTGGCAAGTCGATTTGCAAGGCAAGGTCATGGTGACGAAGGTCAAGGTCACGAGTAGAGGGGACTGCTGTCATGAGTATAATAGAAAATTACGTCTCAGGGTCCCGATCCACAAAGCGTTCGTAACCTTACGAACATTCGTAAGGCTATACTTTTTTTATCATGGGCTTACAAATGGCGTACTACTACGTATGTTTTATGGAGAGGGTCCCTAAAGGATGTAACGACTGTTAAATAATCCTGCATAAAAAATAAGATGTGGTGATTCCGTGACAAATTATATCTATGTCGTTCACGTCATTATTTACGTACGTCTGGTAGCATCATTGACTTACTTGCAAGAGGCGTTTAAAGGGATCGGGTGGTCAGGCTCGCTGACTACTTGGGCTAGCTATCGGTACAGATCATAGCGATCGATGATCGTTAACTAAATGTCGAAGACGTAACTTTGATAAAAAATGCCCCAAAGTCTTAGAGAAACAGACCTTGAATAACCTCCTGAGTCTTTATATTGTGAGATAATTTTTTTCTGTCACAAAACTTAATGTATCATATTATCGATGACACAGTTTGCACATCGATTAATTCATTAATAATATTCCCTACCTACAATATTTCCAATTATCGATCATGTTAGCCAGCCCTACTGACTTGGTTGACACAAGTCATCGTATCCCATTTGCGTAAATCAATGCTCACGATGTTAATCATTTGATTGTCTGGTCCTGACCAGAGTATTTACAGACTTCCGCCATATTGCCGAAAACTTGCTCGTCCCAGGTTTGATTCCCCTCATGGTCCCAATGTGTGAAGCCATTTCTTGCGTCCTCAGTCGTGATATTGCTAAGAGCGGCGTAAAACCATACTCACTTATTCTTTAGATCAATGGTCATGCTGTTGATCACTGGTTTGTCTGGTCCACACTCGATTATTTATAGACAGCCGTCATACAACAAATAAAATACAAGCAAAACTAAACCACATGTAAAATATATTAATTGCTATACTTTCAGCTGAGAGACTTCGCGACTTCTCAGTTGATGTGTACGAGATGAACCCTTCCACATACCCCTCGGCACTTTCCCAAAGGTGCCATTACTATCCAGAAAGCGTCACTACTCGTGGTGTGACCCTCCCCCTTCCCTGCGACGACGCCGTCACTGGACGCTTCCTACGTGTCTCTGGAGAGGTATCGGGACACCATGACGATCCCTTTCAGCTCTGCGAGGTCCAAGTGTTTGGAGTGCAAACATCTAGACTTACGACATGTAAGTGTACCTTGTTTGTTTATTTATTGTTTAACGCCGCACTCAGCAACATGTAAGTGTGTCATCGTTTTTTGGCTCAAGTGTTTCAGGATAGAATAGGGGCGGTCAGGTAGCCTAGTGGTTAAAGTGTTCGGTTGTTCGAAGATCCGGATTCGATTCCCACATGGGTACAATGTGTGTAGCCCTTTTCTGACGCTGAAATATTGCTAAAAGTGGAATAAAAGTAAACTCGCTCATTCCGCATGAGTGAGTGAGTTTAGTTTTACGCCGCACTCTGCAATATTTCAGCTATACGGCGGCGGTCTGTAAATATCTGAACCAGACAATCCAGTGATCAACAGCATGAGTATCGATCTGCGCAATTGGGAACCGATGACATGTGTCAACCAAGTTAACGAGCCTTACCACCCGATCCCGTTAGTCGCCTCTTACGACAAGCATGGATTCCGCATAGAATTAAGTGGACGCAACTGGTGCATACAACAAGAGCATTAGTCCTTCCTGTTGTTCAGTGCCACTCTTGGAGCAGGATACGCTTACTTGGTACCATCAGTATTCCGATTCAAGTTCATGACATAGTTTGAATAGTGCAGCCGACAATATATTGTTTTATGAATGAGGACAGGGTTTTAAAGAACATTTTACTAAATCCTTTTGAAAATCCTTTGAACCGAAAAGATTACCAAAAGTTAACCAACTATATTTATCCATATTAGGAAAAATACTGTCAGAGGCTGACGTCGTGTCTGAGTTATATTCGTACTCCCAATATCAATCACTTAGAACTGAAGTATATAATTTACTGTAAATGAAAAAAAGGAACGAAGAATTATGTCGACTTTGAACTTTACATCATATTTCAAGTCTTTTTTTCACATATAATTCAAATAAGTATTGTTTCATAAGGACAATGTATATTGTTTAGGCCGACTGGATAAATATCCATGCCCTTGAGGCACTAGATATGTTATTTTACTTTAAGAAAAACCGTCTGTAAACTGCGGTTGAGTAACTATTGTTCATTAATGCTGCGTTGGTTCGTACGTATTTGCTACAATATTATTTCCTCCACGAATTGGGGCGGCGGGGTAGCCTAGTGGTTTCGCGTTCGCGCGTCACGCTGAAGACCCGGATTCGATTCCCTCATGGGTGAAGCCCATTTCTGGTGTCCTCCGCCAGGATATTGCTGGGATATTGCTAAAAGCGTTCGTAAAACTAAACTCACTCACTCACGTATCCACGAATTTAGAACGAAAGATGAAAGTAGGAAGATTAAACGTTTGTTTGATGATTTGACAAAATTTAAAAATTCTCCATAAAGCGCAGTCTGAACTTCGTCAGAATATTCTGACAAAAGCAATGTTTCCTATTCTCAGTCACATTCTTTTACGGAATGTTACAAAAGTCGGCAAGTATAATGAGCCCTTGTGAACCAAAAGTAGTCTGTTGATCCTTTGTGCATTTTTTTGCAGGTGCATCATTGGTCCAGTATGAGAGCAAACGTTTTAACACACCACCGAGCAGAACCATTACCTTCGGCAGCAATGGCAGAGCGGCATGTGCTTCCGAGTGTGAACGCGATATCGCATGCGCAGGATTCAACATCCGGTATGAGTCGATAGTCAACATGCTGTATGAGTCGGAGGTCACGTGTGAGCTTATTAATGGAGCGGCCATTTCGGGCCAGGTATCTGATGCTTCGTGGGATTGTTACTTGTATGAGCCATGTCCAATCACGTGCGGGCTGTAATAGTAGATGTGTGTTTTGATGGCGTTTCATGAAATCAGGAATATCTGCACTTTAGAATTGCGTGACTTTAACTTCCAAAATCTTATCGATCAGGATTAGTATATATGTTTCCACGTGTGCCTGGCAGCGTTCGATAAAGCTACTGGCCCGCTAGTCAAATGCTAGTTGATTGTGAATCGGGCCAGTAATATATTGTTAAAGCTATCCCGACAGGCTAGCTGAAAATCTCAGACTCTGGTGGCTTTGAAGAAGACAATCTGTCTCATCTGAAATTGATGAATCAGACAATTCTGTATGACAGCACTTGTTTTCAAGCTTATCTTTTGCACTAGAAGTGAGCTGCACATATGAGTAGTGTTTCCTCCAAAAAAGACCACACCCAGTAGTGGAATGTGTATCCCTGATTGGCTGAAAATAGGACGGGCGGGGTTTGATTTGCATTTTCGAGCAGAACGACTTCATTGATTTGGCATCGTTGTTTCCGCGGTTGTTGTTCATATTTTTCTACGTGTACATGTGTCTGCGTGTGTGTGTGTGTGTGTGTGTGCATGCGTGCGATCGTGAGTGAGTGCATATGTGTGTGTGCGTGTGTGCGAGTGATTAAATAAGTAGTCAAATATTATATCAATTTTATTATCCAAAACAACACGATCTTATATTGTATCACTTCTAAATGCCGTTCAAAGCCTTTAAACAACATTAAAATTATTCAGGGTCGGTTGTGTTGGATGTGCAGGTAATATGCACACATCAGGCCAGAGACTGTGACTTGGGTAACTGGCTGGCATGGCAACCAACAATCACCGGTCTATCTGGTCCAATCTCCGACCCCTGTCAAGCGTGTAAATTAGTCACATGGGCACAATGTGTTAAGCCCATTTCTGGTGTCCCCCGCCGTGATATTGCTGGAAAATTGCTAAAAGCGGCGTAAAACTAAAACTCAGTCAGTCAGTCAGTGTAAATTAGTATATGCGACGTTAAATACAAAATATCCTAAAGATAAATATTCATTCTCTAATATTTCCAAATCACAACTTTTGAAATATAACAAAACAATTCTAAATTATACTTTCCAAACATGAAGGTTTAGAATTTATGAGTGACAACATACTATTTCGTGTCGCATATCAGTAAGTCTTGACCTGATGTTCTTTGTCTGTTTGACGCGATACCGGTGGAAAACTTTGGATGCTCGAACTTAAGGTGGCCTCAAAGTGAAAGCTTATCCCTAATTGAAAAATCATTTTGCGGTGGCTTGAATCTACGGTTTCCTCCCACATGGGTATAATGTGTGAAGCCCATTGCTGGTGTTCCCCGCCGTGATATTGATGGAATATTGCTAAAAGCGGCGTAAAACTAAAATCACTCACTCACTTACACTTGTCTCGAAGGAAAAGCTCATTTTTCTGTCATATGGAACCTTGGATAACTCGAAGAATTGACCTTCAGTAGCCCATGCTTGTCGTAAAAGGCGACTAACGGGATCGGGTGGTCGGGCTCGCTGACTTGGTTGACACATGTCATCAGTTTCCCAATTGCCTAGATCGATGCTCATGCTGTGGAATACTGGATTGTCTGGTTCAGACTCGATTATTTACAGACAGCCGCCATATAGCTGGAATATGGCAGTGGAGTGCAGCGTAAAATTTAACTCACTCACTCACTTAATTCTTATAAGCAGTGTGTGGAAATCAGTGTTTAATGTGAATAACTTTGCTCTTGGGTTTCGACATTACAATACCATTAGAGCTAATAACAGCCAATAATGCATTTAAAATTATCTTTCTATCCACTCTTACCAAAGATATTAAATGTTTCATTGATACATAATATTTGTACATTTAGAAGTGAGTTAATAATTTTAAGACTTGACATGCGTGATATATTTACTACAATTTATGCTCGTTTTCATCTTAAATACAAACTATATTCTGAAACAAATACCGATCACATTTATAGATATATTCCTATGTGGGAAAGGGAGTATGGTTTTACGTCGCTATTCCAGCAATATCACGGCGGAGACACCAGCAATGTGCTCCACACATCGTGCCCATGTGGGGAATCGAACCCGGAGTTCGGCGTGACGAGTGAAACCTTCAACCACTATGCTACTCACCGACCCGTTATTCTATGTAATTTATGTATTCTGTCTACATTACTATTGTCAGTATTTGTCGACATAGGTAATGTTGTCCGCAGTCTGTACGCATGTTGAACCTTCTGGCCCTTTACGTCAATAAAATGTCAATGTGGTTAAACAATGATCTTGCATTGCTTCTGAGTTCATACGGAAACGGCATGTTTCATCAAGGTTGTTGGACCCCGCGCATATTGGGTCTGTTGTACAATAGCCTACTCTCAACGCTTCGACTGGCCAAATCAAAACTTGTCCAAGAAGTTCAAGATTCAGGTATATAGGTGATCGGACATCTTTCAGTAAAAGTCAAACAGCCAATTCCCTTCCACTGATTGCTGTTGGACCCCGTGCATATAAAGTCTGTTGTATAACATTTGAACGTTTGGACTGTCCAAATCAAAACTATTAGTCCAAGAAGCTTAAGCTTCAGGCCTGGTATAAAGATCTGACATCGTTCAGTGAACGTCAAACAGACAATTAGCTTCCACTGATTTATCTACTTGAACTGGAAATATAAGAGACCAGGGAAACCTGTCATTTTTTTCACACTTAAACTTACACATAAAGGTTCAAGGTGACACAACCTCTCTACAAAACTGTAGGAGTGTCTTCAACACCCCAACAGTCGACTGTCCCTGTATGTCGAACAACGATGCTGAAGCGCCGACTTTGGTGTCTACGAGTTTTGGGTACGTCCTCTTTATACCATTGCTGCAACCCTGTCACCTCCTACCAAAAGACCCAAACCAGATTCAGCCCCCATCAAGATATCCATCCCCTACATTGGCAAACCGTCACATCAAATCAGCCGTCTCCTAAAACAACAAGCTGGCATAGATACCACTTTCTCCGCGTCCTCCAGCCTTAACAACATTCTCCATGCCAATGGAAGAAAACCCGCCACCGTAAAGAACAACAACCCTAAATGTGTCATCTACAAAATAAACTGTGATTGTGGGCAGAGCTACATAGGCGAAACTTCCCGACCCATCAACACCCGAGTGAAAGAACATCAGACTTCTGTTACCAATTCCGACAGCAAATCAGCCATTTCCGACCACATCAAAACAAGCCCCAATCATCAAATAGAGTGGTCTGACATCACCATTCTCTCTAACAAACAAACAGACTTCACTAAACGCAAGCTCACCGAAGCCATCCACATCAAACGCCAAAAGCCCACCATCAACCGAGACCAAGGATACTTCATTCCATCCGCTTATGATGCACTCATCCACCAAGCCCAATCTACTGTATAATCTCTGCTGTATAAACATCTCATTATTATTTGTACATCATTGGCTTCCACGCCTGTCCTTTGTCTACTCTCTGGCTTCATCAGCTTTCTGCCTTGTTAATTATGTTGTTTTCTTTGTTACATTGTTACATCCAGTATATATATACTTCCCCCTTCTTCATGTCTCATTATGCTTGACAACGGTACAAGAATCTGAATCGAAACGTCGCACTCACGAATAAAAAGAAGTTGTTAACTATAAAGTTTGTTCTATATTCTCTTTATACGAAGTTGTCAAAGAGCACAATTCGTCCGTTGCTCAAATCGATTTTTGAAAGAAATCGCCACCAAATGGAACTGGTTAATATTTCATGAATGGTTTTGTTACTACCTGCTGTGGCAGTCGAGGTAATTTGTAATATAACCTTGAAGATGAGACTTGTAATCTAACCTTGATAAAATCAATAAACAGGTGTGTGTACAGTTTGAATATTGATTAATCGAAGTCTAAGTTAATGCAAATTGCCCCGTGTGGACAAAAGTTAGAATGCCTCCTCAGAACCCTTTGCTGGTCGTAAAAGGTGACTAAAAGGTTTGCCCAGTGTCTGGTGGCTGAGCTCGAGGGCACAGGAGTCAGGTGTTCCTTTTGCTCAACATCACTTCGACCTTAGCATCACCCTATTCGATCAGGACATTGTGGGGTGGGCGCAGTACTACCAATCAGCTTGTCGTGTCAAGCCCAGTTCATCAATATTTTATGGCGCGAGTCTGTTAAACTCTTCAGATGTTTTATCAAAACGTTTTTGTTTTCGCTATAAATATTTTACTTGAATTTTGTAATTTGCCTTGCGTGCTGTGCCCAGAAGGCAATGCTTAATGCGCCAGTCAGATGGGAGTATTATGCTTGAGTGTATTTGTGTGGAACCTTGGTGCTGCAAGTGGAACATATACGTGTCATTAGGGATTTGTCACTGTAGAGAAAAAAATATCTTGCCTCACACATAAATGACGTTTTCTGATTGGCTGAGCGCTCTTCTATTATTTTCAATGTACCCTGCTTACAAGAGAGTAACATTTTCTATGTACCCCGCTGGGAATGCCGAACTCATTTGGTACTTCGTAGTAGTAATTCTTTATCTCGAATAACACTGAATCACACTGAATCACACTGATTTACGGAAATTACCGATGTTTTGCGAATGCAAATCTATGGAAGGGAGATAACTCTACATTTGTTTTTCTTGTCGTCTGGAACTCCATACTATGATCCGATACCCGTGCTTCAAACAGTTCAAAATTACCATCGATAATACGATACGATAAATACGTTGTTCACTGGTCCCTCGGGGCCCATGGGTTGAAGTACCCTCGGTGCTTGTTTATGTCAAGCCCCATGTCCCCCTCGAGACCAGTGAACAACTTATAATATATATATAGAGAGAGATTATTACAGGAGCAAGTGAGTCATATGATATATACGAAACGAGTGTGAAATGTTGTATGGCACGACAGAGAGCGAGTTTCCTATCAGTCATATGACACACCTGCTCGAGTGTAAAAGTTTCTTTATTATCCATTGTATCCATGTACATTTGTGCAGTAAAGCAAGGTAAGCAAGTGTGACGGCCTCTCTTCATTGACGTCACGTTCAATTGTTGGATGACGTCACAGACAGCGCAATACAGAAACAATGGTTGCTAGGCAAAAGTGATATGTGCACATATATATGACACTGGTTATGTTTCACCATATGGGTAATAAATCTTCACATTACCTTGCATCCACTTCAATAGCCTATGAAAACAAACCGGATATAAATTTAGATTGTTATTACCTTGCATTTATACCTATATAATACCTTCCATCCCCTGTAGGAGCCTCTGATATCAAAAGGATATACATGTATATTGCCTTGCATCTATACCTATATAATACCTTCCATCTACTGTAGGAGCCTCTGATGTCAACAGGATATACATGTATATTGCCTTGCATCTATACCTATATAATACCTTCCATCTACTGTAGGAGCCTCTGATGTCAACAGGATATACATGTATATTGCCTTGCATCTATACCTATATAATACCTTCCATCTACTGTAGGAGCCTCTGATATCAAAAGGATATACATGTATATTGCCTTGCATCTATACCTATATAATACCTTCCATCTACTGTAGGAGCCTCTGATGTTAACAGGATATACATGTATATTGCCTTGCATCTGTACCTATGTAATCCCTTCCATCCACTGAAGGAGCCTCTGATGTCAACAGGATATACATGTATATTGCCTTGCATCTATACCTGTATAATCCCTTCCATCCACTGTAAGAGTTTCTGATGTCAACAGGATATACATGTATGTTGCCTTGCATCTATACCTATATAATCCCTTCCATCCACTGTAGGAGCCTCTGATGTCAACAGGATATACATGTATATTGCCTTGCAACTATACCTATATAATCCCTTCCGTTCCCTGTAGGAGCCTCTGATGTCAACAGGATATACATGTATATTGCCTTGCATCTATACCTATATAATCCCTTCCATCCACTGTAGGAGCCTCTGATGTCAACAGGATATACATGTATATTGCCTTGCATCTATACCTATATAATCCCTTCCGTTCCCTGTAGGAGCCTCTGATGTCAACAGGATATACATGTATATTGCCTTGCATCTATACCTAAAAAATCCCTTCCATCCACTGTAGGTGCCTCTGATGTCAAACAGGATATGCATGTATATTGCCTTGCATCTATACCTATATTACTCCTTCCATCCACTGTAGGAGCCTCTGATGTCAACAGGATATACATGTATATTGCCTTGCATCTATACCTATATAATACCTTCCATCCACTGTAGGAGCCTCTGATGTCAAACACCCGTGAAGGTCCTGGTTGGAATTGATCTTCAGTAACCAATGCTTGTCGTAAAAGGCGACTAACGGGATCGGATGGTCAAGCTTGGTGACTGGGTTGACACATGTCATCGTATCCCAATTGCGCTGATCGGTGTTCATGATGTTGATCCCTGGATTGTCTGGTCCAGACTCGATTAATTACAGACCGCTGCCATATAGCTGCAATATTGCTGAGTGCGGCGTAAATCTAAACTCACTCAATCACTCTGATGTCAAACAGGATATACATGTATATTGCCCTGCATCTATACCTATATAATCCCTTCCATCCACTGAGGAGATTCTGATGTCAAACAGGATATACACTATATATTTATCACTTTTTCCTTGATTAACACAAAAGATTACAGTGATCCCGGGTGTGAAGTTAAGCAATGTTGGTTGGGGAGAGCAGGCGACTGTTTGCCAGATTTGATAACTCCTGAGAGTTTCTACGACTTCTGCACTTGCCCCTGTGGTGTCGCCTATAATTGGTTGGTTGCTGTTGTTATTTGTTTGTTTTTTATTTGTTTTTATTTGTTTTGTTTTATTTTCTTTATTTTTCCTTTATTTTTTTCTTTATTTATTTTATTTCCTGGGGAAGGGGGGTGTTTGTTTTGTTTTGTTGGTATTTTGTTTGTTTTGTTTTTGTTTTGTTTTTGTTTTTTTTATTTGGGGGTGGGGTGGATGGATTGGGTGCGTAACAATGTGCTTCAGTAATGGCTGAGCAAGGTACAGATTGGATATCAGTAAGGCAGCCATTTAAAAAAATATCGGAATTCTATAAATAAAACCATTGAAATACACGTATTTCCATGTGCTTAAGAAATGAATCTCAAACAAACAGCAATTTATGAATCACTGGCAAATAGGCAGTCTACGAAAGGTGACCGTACTCTGGCCCACTGGTGGTACTCGTCACAAACACACACAAAGGCAAGTTAACATACGTTACAATTCCAAGTCAAGTCAAAGATGTTTATTGTATTTCAGGCCTCCGGCCCATATACATTACAGTTGCATGCATTATACAATCACATACTGTTTGAATACAGAGATGATTTTGACAGAATATCACGCTTAAACATTGCATTGTAGATGTATTGTGATAGTTGTAAGTTAATACAGTTGTCATTAGTAGACAGGATTTGTTTAAATGCTACAGTAGGTGACTTGGATAGGTAACATTCAGGAATATACTGTTTACGTAAATCTATGTAAGATGGACAGACAAATAAAAAATGAATTTCGTTTTCAATAAATAATTTACACAATGAGCAAATTCTGTTATATCTGTCGATGGACACACGTCTTCCTTCATTAATCATTAAGTTTGATAGTCCTAATCTAAATCGTATTAATGAATTTCTCAACTTTTTGGATGTTAAGTGTCGTAGGTACTTTTCGGGTTGGAGTAGGGTTTTAAGCATTCTATAGGAATCATATCGTGAGCTATTATCTAAAACTGAATGACAATCTTGATTAAATATATTGATAGCTGTTTCTCGGAATTGATACATAAAAAGATTTACATTGCCAACTGACTGATTTAGCCACACAAAACCATAACCATGAGAAAAAAGGATATCTGATATGAGTTGCCCATGTTACTTTACCCAAGTCATCCAGATGAACAAGCATATTGTAAGTCAAAACAAGGAATTATATCGGACTTAAAGCCTGTTCCGTATGCGCAACATTTAGAACATTGTTACATAATGAATATAACTGCCACGGAAAAATAGAAAGCAAAAAGTATTACACAGTACTGTTACAGTTTAGAAATTACTGAGACAAAGGTTTGTGAGTCCCCTTTAAACCAGCAAAATAAAACACAGACGAGCCTAAAATATTCAGTTGTACATTGTAAACAAGGTCAAAATGAACGACAATACGGATTTCTAATGCAATACTATTGGGACCACAAATCTAAACCATTGTGTCACAAATATAGAATTTTACTCTCCAAAGTATTGATTTTCCCAGTAATAAACAGATGTACTGATTGAAGATTGTTGACAGGTGTTGTAAGTTCAATATAGACAAGGCCTCTTGAAACTGACTGACTGACTGACTGAGTTTGATTTTACGCCGCTTTTAGCAATATTCCAGCAACATCACGGCGGGGGACACCAGAAATGGGCTTCACACAATGTACCCATGTGGGGATTCGAACCCGGGTCTTCGGCGTGACGAGCCAACGCTTTTAACCACTAGGCTACCCCACCGCCCCCGCTTGAAACGTCGATGTTAGCAGACAGGTGAGCGTAAATCGAAAGCAGTCCCTTTATACTTCTCAGAAACAATCCCTTATATACCTATTATACAGTTTCAGAGATTTCTAGCCAAAGCCACGTCACACCACTATCTTTTAGAAATTACTGGAATCTTTCACCGAAAACACAGGATACAAAAAACAAACAAAGGGGAGACAACTCCCCAGTCCACTCTGAACAGATGAAAATACATAATGTAAGTTGAAGGTGGGCGTTCAAATCCACGCCCATCGCTTTAAACCTTTTGTGACCCATAATAACTAAAAGTTCATGAATGTGACATTAAAATTAACAAAAACACATCCTCATAACTGGACACCCCTGCAGCTGTTCAGATGTGGCCAATGAGAATACTTTCACTGAATGTTTAAAACAGATCTATAAATGTACTTAATGTTAATTAATAATACCATATCTTCATGACCGGACAACGCTTCTGGGTCAGTTGGACACATTAGCCTCTTTGCAGTACGCGATTAACAGAAACCGTTTTTCAAGACATTAACCTTTAGCTTTTTATGCATTAACGCCTTTGTAAGAATATGAATCCATTACCAGGTCAGGTGAGGTGAGGTAAAATTGGTGAGGTTTTACGTCGTGCTTGAGAATATTTCGCTCATATGACGACGTGCCTGCGTGTGTATGTGCGGCTGCTTGTACTAGCCCTGACTGAAGCTGGTTTTATAGTGCTAGCCCACTGAGATACCATGCCGCAGTGAAGCATGAATACCCCACTCAGACACAGTATACTGACTCCGACCCGACCAGTCCTTGTTGTACCCATTAATGCCGAGCGCCAGGCAGAGACCAACAAGTACCATATTTTAAAGTCTTTTGGTATGACGCGGTCGGGGATGGAACCCGCGACCTTCCACTCCCCGGGCGGACGCTCTAACCACTACACCACGGAGGCGGTCCCATTACCAGGTAGGAATAAATAAATATGACTTGAATTTAAACCAACAATCGGTAATACCTGCTTGGGTCGGCAATCAAGACATGACGGAGTCATTTTGCGACTATGTCGTATTGGCCACAACATTTAACTACGAATATCTGCTTAAAACAGATAAGGACGAACCTCCTGCGTGCATCCCTTGTGATGAAAGGCTCACCGTCAAGCACGTTTTGCTTGACTGTGTGGACTGCAATTGCAAGGGGTTCACATTATCAAGCAGTAAACTTGAAAGATGCAATCTTATAATTAATTAGTTGAAACAAAATGATCTGCACCATAAACTATGAATATGTACATAAATATTGCTTATTTGTAAATTTATGGGCTCATGGCCCGTATTATCCAAAGCGAGCTGAATTCGGCGTTCTGGTGATTACGACGATTGCATTGCTCGCGCTATATTGGGGGAGTATGTGTGCGATCGGAGGGCACAAGCGGTTTCATTGGTAGGGCGGGTGCCAAGTCGCTGTCGACAGAAGTTTCATTGACAATGGAAATCTGGAAGTTAAGTTATATAAAAAGCAAACAAACTTCATTATTATTTACCCGAGATCATTAATACCACTTCAGATGCAAAATCAATTGCCTATATAACAACAAATAGCAAGCGGAAATTCAGTAAATTCAGTCATCTGCTGGTGACAGGCAATATATAAATAGAAAGCTACGTAATCACAACACTCCCTCGCAGTGCGGAGCAACAAGTGTAGTTCATCGTCGAAAAACCATACAAAATCCCCGGACGTGGAGAGCGACAACAGTTTCGCCGATACGATGTCATCAACGCTATTTTTGTAGGAAACGCTTGATATTTGTGTGTGTGAAATAGATGAATATAGCCTTTATTACTCAAAGTTAGCAAAATGAAAACTTTAAATGATTTAAAGATAAAAAAATACGTTTTTGCCTTCATAATTTATGGCTAGGGGGGTGATGATGACTTTTATGGAGAAGCATGTACAATGTGAACAAACCCCCCTTAACATTTATGTGCAAAATAAGTAATCCCACCTGCATGTCATGTACATAAATCAATGACCCACCCCCCCTTCCCATCCCATAATTTCTAAGCATAATTTTAAACATACATTTATGTACACAATTGCTGACCCCAAACTAACTCCGCAGAACAGAATGGGCGACCCCCTTAAAATCATCATCACCCCACATAACCCCCACTCCCCCCGCCATAAATTATGAACGGTCCCTTAAATCGCCGTAAACACCTCACACCGGGATAGACTGTAAATGGTATGGTTAAGGCCCATTTTTAAATTGCAGATAATATTGTTAGAGTTCGTGTGCTCGTGTGGTAAATTGTCAATAGATAATATTGTGATGTTGAAATGTGTGCTGTACATGAAAACTTGGTTTTGAATGTAACTTTGTGTAATTTGTGTATGTGTGTACACTTGGTCTTGTCGCTGTACGGCTGAAATAATGCCCATGTGACGTTACATGTCAACCCACTCACTCACCAGCTAGTGTATCCTTTTGTATATTTTGATTTTGTATATACGAACTATGATGAATATGACACCTGTGTTCACTATCAAAGATCCTAAGTTTCGGGAACGGCATCACTTTTCTCTCTGGTAATTTTTATTGGTTGTTCCACTCAACGCTTCCTTCCAGTGATTGAAGCTCTTTTATGACCACGTTTTCGGGAACAAGAACAGTTCCAAGAGGGCATCATCCTTCCCAGTGTGTGTCACAGTACGGTGACATCTGCATTCGGATCAAACTTGATTTCGCTAAGACGAAATTACATTACCAATCTGTTTTCGGTCTCGTTTCAATATATCCTGGATCTGTAGCTTAAGCAAACCATGGGTTTCCAAAGTAACGCATTAAGCTTGGCTTCAGGGCAGGGTTTCCTGACGTTGATTCATTAACCGTTATGAAAGGAAAGAGTTGTTACGACGTCAGCGAGGTTCGTTTCATGGAGGATTTAATAATGCTCACTATATATAACCCTATGAATCTATACACGCAATTCAAGCTCATATATTTACTTTCAAAATGAGAGATAGATCACAAAACAGCTAGGATGTTCGGAAGCTCGAAAACTCATAATTTGTCGATTCGAGTGAGTGAGTGAGTAAGTAAGTATGGTTTTACGCTGCTTTTAGCAATATTCCAGCAATAACACGGCGGGGGACACCAGAAATGGGCTTCACACATTGTACCCTTGTGAAGAATCGAACCCGGGTCTTTGGCGTGACGAGCCAATGCTTTCACCATACTCATTCACTCACTCACTCACTGATGCTTTGAGGTAAAACATAAATAACATAAATAAATGATAAGTCAAATTAGGTTTTTGTATCAATCGATACTGCTTATGTTGCTCGACTATTTAATTCTTCATTGGGCTATTTGCATAAACTTGTATACACAGCTGGTTATTGATTTTATCAAGATTAGATTACACGTGTCATCTTCAGAAATTGCCTCGACTGGCATAGCTGGGAATAACAAAGAATTAAATGAATAAGTGACTAACATGTCTATGCGTGAAACAGTTTCAATTGGTCTGTTGACGTCATTCAAACGATTAACAATTGGAATGAGTCCACGTGCGACCTTACCTGCGATGACTACCAGAAAGGAATATTCTTACATAACATATACTTCTCTTCAAAAGTATAGACTCACTTAAACACCCTCTATATGTTATATATATATAACACACCACAACGCAGCTGTTGACATGTTATATATATATATATATATATATATATATATACTCTCCCCAAAAAGAAACGCATCATGAAAATAGCTATTTCATGTAGCAATGAATTAAAACTTGATTCATTTTACAAAAGGTTTTGCTCTGTTTATGAGTCCTATGGTGCTAAGGTTTTGAAACATCACAACAAAACGCACCATCCGTAAAATACCCGTATTTAACAGCATGATTTTTCAATTTCGGCGTGTAGTGTCACAGAATACACAATTCCCATGCAATGCACGTGAAAGTTGGGGATCAGATAGTCTCAATGATGGGTATAAAAGGTTGATCACTGTCTGTCGATTATTCACTGTATTTTGAATATTGTTGACGAACGCAAAATGCCACGTCCCAAGTGAAGCCAACCGTCATATTGCCATTGGTTTGCTTGAAGCTGGCCAGTCTCAACGTGCAGTTGCCCGACGCATGAATGTTCACCAAAGCACCATTTCACGGCTCTGGAAGAGATATCGCTGGCAGAATGCGGTAGCAGATGCCCCTCGTAGTGGGCGACCTCGAGTGACCACTGCGGCGCAAGATCGCTACATCCGGGTACATCACCTGCGTCATCGAAAAGCTACGGCGACCAGTACCGCTCGACAAATACCCGGATTGAGGAGGGTTTCTACACAGATCGTCAGGAACAGGTTGAGAGAGGCTGGTTTACGTGCAAGAAGACCTTATTTTGGCCCTGTGCTTCGACAACAACATCGTCGACATCGAGTTCAATGGTGCACCAACGTTCAGGCCTGGAACCTACTGAATTGGCATAGAATCTGGTTCAGTGATGAATCACGATTTCTATTGGAATGACACGATGGAAGAATGCGGGTGTACAGACGTCGACGTGAACGTTTGGCCGACGCTTGCGTTCCCCAGGTGGACAGATTCGGCCGGGGCAGTGGTATCATGTGGGGAGCGATCACCTGCCTTAGGAGAAGTGATTTGGTGATGATCCAGGGCAACCTGACAGCTCAACGGTAATGTGACGAAATCCTACGCCCACATCTCCTTCCAATCATTGATCGCCAGAGGGAGTTGTTTCAACAGGACAATGCCAGGCCCCACACAGCACGTCACACTAGAGACTTCCTCCAGAACCACAACATCAATGTGCTCCCCTGACCCTCAAGATCACCGGACTTAAACCCGATCGAACATCTGTGGGATGCCTTGGACAGACGGGTGCGACGCCGTAACCCTCAGCCCCAGACACTTCAGCAACTCGCACAGGCACTAAAGGCAGAGTGGACTGCGATTGGGCAACACAAGATTCTGAGACTTATTCGTTCGATGCCGAGGCGATGCCGTGCAGTTCTGGATGCCCACGGTGGTCACACGAGGTATTGACTTCAGCGCCACCACACGTCTCCATGTGACACTCAACTGACTTTCCTCGAGTTGGTGCCAAAGACGGATTAGTCTGCATTCCCAATGTGCAATTTCGCTATATTTCATTGACACATATAGCCTACAAGATGTTTCAAAATAAACATAAAGATACAGTTGAAATTCCTATATGCGTTTCTTTTTGGGAGGGTATACAACATGTGAAGAGCTGCGTTGCGGTGTAAAGTTT